ATGGATAAGCCAACAAAGAACGAATACCTGGAAAAACCGTTGAAGGAGGAGTTTATGGAAAAGTCGATGGAAAATGAATATCTGGAAAAACCGTTGAAGAAGGAAAACATGGAAGCAAGTGATGTGTTGAGAGACATCAATGCTCCAGTATCATTGGATAGGAGGTGATTGCATTCACTAGGCTATCTGCGATGTTTCTTCAAGAGAATTATCACACTTTTAGATGGCAGTCGTCAATGGAGCAGCTCACTAAAAACACTGATGATCTGATGTTCAAGAGTGGTGGTGATGTTCTTACGGTAAGCAGAGAAGGTTAAGCAGTGAATATTGTAATGACTGGTAAAATATTTAGCAGCGCACATGATGGAAGAGAAGTGGGAGTAATTTTTTGAGGTTCAAAATTTATGAGTCAGTTTTTGATGCTAGAGTACTTTCACGAATTTTAAATTAGCTTTTTGAAAATCCTCTCCTTCACTCCACCTTCAAAAAAATTACTGCAATGCTGCTGCAGCTTAGATAAGTCACTCTTGGCTAATAGGAAAAGTAGACCGATATTCTAGTGTTCAATATCAGGAGTCCCATGTTTTTTACAATCTCTACAGCAATAACAATTTGACCTAGCATTTGAGGAGAAATTTACATCAAACAATAGCCATCGTATTTTAGAGTACCGAAGTGATGTCATCGTCAGAAATTGCATATCCTTCAATAAAGAGGAAAGAAAATATGAGCTTGTCGAAGCGGCTGCAACAAAAGCTGGGTAAGAATTCTGCCTTTATTCTCATGACGAAAAATTTCAGTAAATTTGCAAGTTCAATCGTATTCATTTTTCAGAACAACTGAAAGACAAGCATCCAGAAAGATACGTTGAGTACCTTGCCGGTAAAAGCAGAAACTCATTTCCCATTACCAAGGACGAGACAACCACATCGTCTGAAGCTGAAGTCCTCAATGCCGAAGTTATGGATACCGCATCACTTGTTACGCCTGCAAAGCCCAAAAGTCCAAGAGCGGTAAGCAACTTTGCCTGGGATTATTCTTAATCTTTTTAGCTGAACTTCGATTGTTTTCAGCAATTCTTTGCAAAGAGGATCAACTTCTCCGATGACTATCCCTTCGTCAAGAAGCACAAAGAAGGAGGAGAAACAGACATAAGAAGGCAAGAGCCAAGAAAACCTAAGGTGAGCAATCAATATACTTCAGACACATAGAAAACTTTATTTTCAGCAAGTAAAGTTAAATTCCGCTCCATCCTTCATGAACAAAGCACGATCCTTCCTGAGTAATATTCTGGGTGGAGGAAACAGTGGCGAAAGCAGCAATCAGGCTGAAAGCTCGGCCGAGCTAGTAACGGCGTCGAAAGGTAGGTAAAATAGTATTTAAAGGTTACTATGAGAATGTAGATGGTAAAGCGTACTTTGACTGAATTTTTTTTTTT